CCCCAAAACCCCAAAACCCCAAAACCCCTTGTGTAAAAATTATAGGAATAGCCGGCAAAAATTATTAATTAATCAATATGAAATAAATTTTATGCATCTTTGCTATTAGCTTGGGACTTTTAAGCTTGACTTTAGCTCAGAATATCAGTTCAAATACTTACTAATCTGGAATCCTTGAGAAAACTTCGCTTTCAGGAATGTCTACCACAATGACCAGAGAATTCCTGGAGAATTATAGATTTGGAATTCTTGAGTAATATATGAAAAATGTAGCATCAGCAAGGATTCTCTCTTAAAATGTAGAATTCAATACCTCAGAGGCAAGCTACGAAGTTACATTAAGTGATGCTTAGGTTATTGGCCTTAAAGTAGATTTAGATAAATCTCAATTCTAGTTGCTGGAATTCTCTCCAAATATAATCATGACTCTAACTAATTTAAACATTGATATGAGCTTTATATATGAGATTCACACCACTCCTAAGATTATGGAGGATAATATAGGTGCTGGTTTCATTTAATTCTATGACCTTGACATTTTAATTGAAATTACGCCCTATATTAGCAAGAACCAAATATCAATAGAGGTAAATAATGTGAAATTATCAGTATACAAAGATGTGAGTTTAAAACTCTAGGGTATAGATCTCTCAGCTCACATTTAAAGCTTTGGAGGACTTCTTAAGGATAAGATTAGACTTTAGCTATTGAATGATTTCTAGCAAACTCTAATCAATGTAGCACTTTTGACAAATACCTAGATGGCTGAAAATATACCCTCACATTTCATAATTTAGAATTAGATCGTACTTAATAACCTGGTTAGAGATGAGCAGATAAAAATAACTGAGAACTACTGGTCGATCGGAGGAGATGGCACATCTTATGTAAATAAAGGTACAGTTGAATTCAACGACCAACCGATAATCCTTGGTGAATATGATTCTTAAGCAGGTGATTACTAAGTTTACATCTCAAATTTTTCAGCAAGCACAATGGTAAGAGTGGCTTAATCGACATAGAGATTCCGTTTGATGAACCTCACTATTCCTTTAGATATGGTAGCTTCTATAATCAAAGGTGCAGATAAAGTTTATAAAAACTATTTTGAAACTCAGATAGAGATAGATTTCTCTAAAGAAGAGCTTTCTAATGTTACTTTCAACGAAAATGGCACATTCATTTCAGCTGTGATAGATATTCGCATTAAAAATCCTATGACTTTTAATCAAGATATGGTTGCAATGTAAGTGCTGATGAAAATGAAGATGAACATTACCATCAATGACGATTTCGAATTCAAAGCAGCAATAGAATCTACTAAGTCTGAAATCATTCACTTCTAGCCTTATTTCTACACTGGTTCAAACAGCTATACAATTTAATCACACATTAAGAAGATTAATGCCTTACTTATAGACAAGATAAACCCAATAATAGGCAGTGTATTCAATATCCCATAACTCAAAGTTAACAAGGATTTTCTTAAAGATCCTAAAATCAAAACTTTCAGAGGGTTTATTTAAATTTCTGCGAATCCTAAGGAGCCTTAAGATCAATAGAAGAAGCTAAAATTTGAAACTGATCTTGGGGATAACTACCATTATGTCAACTACCAGTACATATATTTGATTGAGAATAACATGGTTAAACTTCTTAAGAAACATAAGCAACCTTAAGCTGTAAGTAAATCAGGCGACCAATAGACCCATGAGAAAGATGAATTGTGATTAATTAATTACCGATTTTACTATGATCTTTTTACTTAGTCTTATGGGGTTTTGGGGTTTTGGGGTTTTGGGGTTTTGGGG